GGTTTCATGGTAGACGTTACTCTTGCAATACCCATTTATTCCAACAATATATATACTAGCGTGTAACCGTGCTATGCATATTAAATTATATACTAATTTAATATTTTTTATAAATAATACTTTTATTTTTTTCATACATATAAAATATATTACTCGAATCAAATCAATTTAATATACGAAAAAATATATATATACAATTGTATTAATAACAATAAAATGATCAAATCTAAAAAATTAATTAACTCAAACTTAATTAATTAAATTATTTATAAATTATAGATTAATCAACTATTTTTAAAAAAAATAATAATAATAAATCAAATCAAATATGAAAATATGAAAATATATATACATATATACATATGTTTACACAAAATACATTCTATTTTAACCAAAAAAAAAATTTATATTAATTATATATTATTTCATACCTATACCTAGTATTATACATCTCAAATTTGAAAATATAAATCAAACACGGTATTATTTTATTTGTATTTTTCTTAAGATTTTTTTTTTTAATAATAAGAAAAGTTTTTTGTTACACATAAAAAAATCATGTATACATAATAAATAAGTTATAAAAAAAATAGAATTTAATCATAATAAATATAACAAATATAAAAAAAAAAATACAAAAAAATTATATTTAAATAAAATAATTAATAGTGATAATATAGTATCTAATAAATTTATTAAATATAAAAAATATAAATTATATTCTTACCATAATAGCAACGATCCGGTGACTTTCCAGCAACACCTTCAAACAACGAATTAAAAAGTATAATATATGGTATTAAAATGATAGACTTATATTTGACATATACGATAAAATTAATAATAATAATAATAGAGTGAAAAAAAGAAGAAAAAAATCAAAATAATAATATTAAAATCAAATCGTTAATGCAGATGCACACAATAAAATTGTTGATTTGATATTCATTATCTATTTCAGTATCTTTTTGTATCTTCTTCTTTCTTCCTAAAAAATATAAAATAATCACTTAGAAGAAAATAAAAATATTTTAAAAAATCAATGAAGTGGTATAATCGTAATCTAAAGAGAAACAATTATATACATTAAATAATTTTATTCACGTATATCTACTATTGTTTATTACTTCCTTTGTCATTCAAATATATGATCACTTACTTTCCTGATTGGGTTATCATAAAAAAAATATTCTCATTTCATTTTTAAGTAAAAAATCATTATACTTTTGTATATATATTTTTTTACTATAAAAAAAAGTAACAATTATTACTTATTTTTATTAAAATTCGTGTTCGGTCAAATGAGCATACATTTGCATGACGGGGGAGTATTAAATTATACTCCCTCCGTCTCGCTACTAAGTTATTAATAATAAGTTATGATAATATTTCATTATTTTTTACATGAGTAGTGTTGTTGGTATTTTAAATATTTTTAAAATTATATCTCAATAAAATAAATGCAATATAGATATTATTTTGTTGATAATAAAATTTTATCTAATACAAATGAATAAAAAAATATATTTATTTATTTATCATACCATAAATTAGTTTTATAAAAAATAGGAGTTTTAAAGGTATATATGTGTTAATTGATGAGAGATATATAAATAAAGGAGTTTTGAATAGGTCCCACGTATAATACGTTAGAAGTCTAATTAAATCGATTTATATTTGTTGAGCATGTTTAAGATTGATAAATTTACCATAAATAAAAATGAGTCATCTTTTATGAAACGTAAAAAAAATAAAAAAAAATAAAAAATAAAAAGTCATCTGTGGTGGGACAAATGGAATAATTTATAAAATATAATAAGAATATAGAATAATTTTAAATAAAAAATAAATAGATCAAAATATAACCTCAATTCCACAGCATCTTCTTTCCCTTTTTTTTTCTTCCACTTATATTATGTTACTCTTATCTTCCTTCGTCTCTTGCCCTTTTATTTGGCTCATCTTCTTGTTTTCTTCGCAATCCCTTTTTTTTTTTTTTTTCTTCCCCTTTGTTATTAAAATAAGGCAAAACAGTAAAAAAACTGCCCTGTGGTTTCTGAAAATTGCTGAAAACCCCGTGTGGTTTTAAAACTCCTAAAAACCTACTTGTGGTTTCCAAAATGTTGCAAAAAATTCCCCATCCGTTAGGATTTAACGGAGGTTGTATAGCACGCACCTGAAATGCGATTTTTGGTCCATAGAGTAATAAATTTCTGTATAAAATTACTAAAATACCCTAATGACTGCTTTTTACCTTCTTCCTCGTTCTTCTTCTTCCTTGTTCTTCTTCATTCATTCTTCTTTCTTATTCTTCTTTCTTCTTCTTCCTTGTTCTTCTTCTTTCTTACCAAATCCAGAATTACTTTCTTCTATTTTTATCAAACCAAAAATCTAAAAATTCAATTTGACATCAAAATTTGAAATCAATCTAAGAAGAAAAAAGAACATGCTGCTCGTTGCAATCGTGTACGAAAGAATTAGAGAGAAAAAATAAAGAAGAAAGAAAATTGGAGAAAAATAGATAAAAAAAAATTGGAGAAAAAAAAAACTGATGTCTTCTTTCTCATCTTCTTTCTTTTCATTCTTTCTTTATTCTCTTTCTTTTCTTCATTCCTTCTTCCCTGCTCCAGCCGCTTTCGCCCGTCATCTTCTTTCTCTTCTTATTTTTTTCCAATTCTTCATTCTTCAAAGAACAATTGGAGATGAAGAAGAAGAAAAAAAAATTGGGGGAAAAAGAAGAAAAGAAATAATCGGGTAGAACTACTATGGCGTGAAAAAGAATTGGAGAAGAAAAAGAGAAAAATTGAGGAAAAATAAAAACAGAAAGAAGTGGAACTGTTATGGCTTGAAAAGGAATTGGAGAAGAAGAAGAAAAAATTGAGGAAAAAGATGTGTGAAGAAGAATTTGAGGAATAAAAGAAGATGGAAAAAAGAAGTTGGGGGAGAAGAGAAGAAGAAAAAACAGAAGAGAGAGAAACACATGGGCAAAACGGTCTGATAAGGTGAAAATTTAATGCCGTCAATGTGATTTAAAGGGAGGGGACGAGTGTGCAACGTTTTACAAACCACGAGTAGGTTTTTAGAAGTTTTAGGACTACGGGGGGTTTTCAGCAGATTCAGTAAACCATGAGGGAATTTTTTGCTGTTTTGCCTTAAAATAAAAAGGCTTAGAAAAATATTATACTTACTCTTTCATGTTTCTCATTCTTCTTTCCCGTTATCATTCTTATTTTTTTATCAATTTTTTTTCCCTTCCTCTTCTTTACCAAACCTTAAAAAAGGAAATTGAAGGAGAAGAAAAAAATTGAAAATAAAGAATAAGTAGAGAAAGAAAAAGAGCCTGCACAATATTTTTTGTTGTGTCTATTTTAACTTAATCTTTAAGTGTGTACATATATATATATATAGATATACAAAACCCTAATTTTATCCATAAATTAAAAATTTTATTTATTATTTTAATAAATCCTAATTTTATTAGGTTATTTGTGATTCTAACAATTTTAATTAATTATTCAAACTCAATATTTAAAAAAAATTAAAATAAAATTCCAAAATTATGTGAGCGCTATATTTATATATGATATACTCCCTCCGTCCACAAACTAATATCCTATTTTTCTATTTGGGACGTCCAACAACTATTGTCCTATTTTATTTTTTAAATACAAATTTTATATTTCTACCATCCATTCATTTATTACTTTTAATCTTTGTCATACAATTCAAGGTAAATTTGCCAATTCATAACAAAAAAACAATCATCTCAAAAACCGTACAAATATACTTTAGGACAATAAAAATTGTACGGAGGAAGTATAATACTATCGTATAACCTGTGCTATGCATGAGTTAATTTTATATTAAATTACATACTAATTTAATATTTTTTTATAAATAATACTTATATTTTTTATAAGTATAAAATATATTACTCGAATCAAATCAATTTAATATACGAAAAAATTTTATACAATTGCATTAATAACAATAAAATTATCAAATCTAAAAAATTAATTAACTCAAATATAATTAATTAAATAAATTATAAATTATAGATTAATCAACTATTTATTTTTTAAAAAAATACTATAAATCAAACAAAATAATAAAATATGAAAAAAGTAAATATATAATATGTTTACACAAAATACATTCTATTTTAACAAAAATTATTTTTATATTAATTATATATTTTTTTCATATTTAGTATTATGCGTGTCAAATTTGAAAATATAAATCAAACACGATTTTATTTTATTTGTATTTTTCTTAAGATTGTTTTTTTTTTAATAATAAGATTAACTTTTTTGTTAAGCATAAAAAAAATCATATATCATAATAAATAAGTTATTAAAAATATAATTTAATCATAGTCCACAAACTAACGTTCTACTTTCCTATTTGAAATGTCCAACAATTGTTGTCCTCTTTCTATTTTTATATACAAAATTTACTCTTTTACCCTTACTTTATTTACTCTTTCATTTTCTATACACAAGATTAAGGACAAATTAGTTAGTAAAAAGGTGTAAAATAATTTTAAGATTTTTGCTCTTTTAATTTTATGTATAAAATAATTATATGTGTAATAATATATTTTTAATTTATGTCAAAAAATTTTAAAAATATATTTTAATATTAGTGTGATTAATTTTACTATAAAAATAATAAATATATATTTTCAATTGATCAAAAAAACCTATTCATCTATATTAAAAGTTTTACAAAAAGAGCATAAAGTGTCCTTTTACTGTAAACACGAAAATTTACGACATATATAATTAATAAAAAAATTAAGAATGCATTAATAAAATAATTATTATATAATAAAAATAATTTTAAATTAAAATTAAAATAGTTAATTAGTATAATAAAATTAAAAAATATAAAATAAATTTAAAGTGTAATTTTCTTTTTAAAAAACATGATATAATAAGTTAACACGATAAATGGAATTCAGAATATTTTTCTTATATTGGAAAAAGTATAAAGAAGAGTTGGTGAAGTTGTAAATTTGCAAAGTCACTGTCAGTCAGTAAAGTCCGTCATCCATCCATCCGTACATCCGAAAAAAGAATACATCAATTAAACAAACACAACTTGCAAAATACCAATAAACACGTTTAACCATAGCAGACTTAACCAAAGTTTTTAAGGTTGTCTTGAAGCATCTGTCTAAAGCTCAAGCTCAGTCTAAGTCTTGACACAACAAATTACTATAAAAGACCATACTTACCATAGACTAGATGCCGTTGCCGTCAGTGAGTTGTTAAGCTTGAGAAGGAATGGTATTCTTCCGCCACTCCCAGTAGTTTGCTCTCATGGGATCAACCCTTTGGAGGACCCAACACACTCTTGCAGCCAATCCTGAATCTGAGGACGGATTTGGGATCTCGGAGTACAATGCATCGATGGCATTTTTCAACTCATTGCTCGGCTGATAGCAATGGCAGAGAAGATCCAGGACCATGTTCAAAGCATGGACAGAATCCCTTTTATCCGCTAAAACATCTAAGCAAACTGATGCCACTCGTGGGTCACTGGCCAGAGATTTCACATTGTTTTTGTAGAGTCCGCGCAGGTATCTCCATGGACTTTCATTTTCAGGTCTTAATAAAATTGCTTTTATTGTAAAAGCAACTTCAGAGTCCCTCATCGCCTCCAATCCTCCAAGCACAGGAGACTTCGACACCACAAAGTATCTCTATGGACACCGAGTAATCATGAAATTTTACAGCATCAGATGTTAGGCAAAAAATTAATGGCAATTATATTTCAAGACTCTTGAAGGGAAAAAAGGAATAAGATTTCTTGTCTTCTTTTGTATTTCTTCTCTATATTTTTACTATGAAATCTACTTTTCCTCCAAAAACAGTACACCAATTAACAGTTTTCTACCCAAAACATCACATTCAACTATTATTTCACTCAAAACATATAAACATATATAATATATTCGGGGGATAGGGGATACGCGTGGTGGGGTTAAGGATACAAAAATATGTAAATATAGCACATGTAATCAATGTTTACAAAGAAAATCCTTTAACACAAGCATGGGCACAAATTTGAGGTAAATCAGAATAGATGGGCACTTAACTGTCCAGACTCAAATTTCTGGCACACCTTAAATTCGAAATGATAAGAATAAAATCACGGTAGATAAACAACATTACAATTACAGTAGATAAACTAATACTCATATTTCAAGCTTCATTAGAAAATTAATGGTTACAGCTGTATTGCGAATTCCTTGAAACAATCATCTAATATATCTAACTATAAATGGTCAGTGGAAGAGAAACACAAATATCACAATAGCAATATTGAATCCCCGAAAAATGTATGTGTTACGTATGAAATTTAGAATTAGGTTAAAAAGCCCAAGGTAAAAGAGGAATGGGCCTGGCATTAGAGTTGGTTGAACTGGCTCAAGGAAAATAGGTTTATTTCTAAGGAAAATACAGGACGGAAAGACCTCAGGTCGGAAGGTCTTCAGGTCGGTAGGTCCTCAAGACGGAAAGTCCTCAGGACGGAAAGACCTCAGGTCGGAAGGTCTTCAGGTCGGGAGGTCCTCAAGACGGAAAGTCCTCAGGACGGAAAGACCTCAGGTCGGAAGGTCTTCAGGTCGGGAGGTCCTCAAGACGGAAAGTCCTCAGGACGGAAAGACCTCAGGTCGGAAGGTCTTCAGGTCGGGAGGTCCTCAAGACGGAAAGTCATCAGGACGGAAAGTCCGCAGGTCGGGAGGCCCTCAGGACGGGAAGTCCGCAGGTCGGGAGGCCCTCAGGTCGGAAAGTTCGCAGGTCGAAAAGTCTTCAGGGCGGAAAGTCCTCAGGTTGGATAGGTCGGGAAGTTCTCAGGTCGGAACTCTGCGGCAGGACCAACAAATCGGATGGTTTGTTAGTCGGGATGTCTGTAGCTAATCCAAACAAGTCAGATGGTTTGCAAGTCGGGAGGATTGGCAGTCGGACCAATACGGTTGTAGATTGGCAGTCGGGCCAAAAGGGCGGAAGGTCTGTGGTCGGCTCAAAGAGTGAAATATAGGGATAATTTTGGTCTGCTGAGGACACGTGTCAGCAGGAGAAGGGTTGGAAGACGGTTGGGAAGGAGACGTTGTAACCGTTCGGGCGACGGTTTTCAGTACAGTTTCCCAGAGAATATTTAAGGGTTTGGATCATCATTTGGCAGGGTATCTTCAATCAACTTCAACAAAGCAAAGTCAGATTTGGGGATCACCACTTTAAATTTCAGTCTTTTATTTTCCAGTTTATTTTCTGTACCATACAGTGTTTAGAGATTCCTAATCTCAGGCACTAATTAATCAAGTTTAAGGATATTTTCTATATCTTTGAATTTTACTTTATTTTTGTTGAAAAATTACATCAACAAATTGGTGACCACAGTGGGAGCAAGACACAATTGCTCATTCCAATTCCGGCGATAATTTCATACGTCTTAGATCCGGCCGAATCATCGGAAGGGTCCATATGGCAGGTTCACAACCTCAATCATCTTCGGCACCGGCGGGAGAATCCGTTCCACCACCTATTGTGCCAAATGCCGGGGAAAACCCACAACCACCAACTGATTGGAGGTCTTATGTTCAACAAATGAACAACCAGCAAACTTTGGTTATGCAGAATATGTTGCGTGAGCAACAAACGAACATGTTGCGTGAACAACAAAATCTAATACTGAACATGTTGGATCAAGCACTGTCAAGGGTTAGTCTTCAACCCACTCAAACTCCACCAGGAGTATCACCATCCAGACTACAGGCAAATTTCGCAGGGCCATCATTCGTGGATAGTGCCTTTCCAAGTGCCACAAATCCCAACCGAACGGATAGGGGAAAATCTCCTCTGACTTTTCCCAACACTGTTCCGCTGGGACCAAGGGTTTCCAGTCCGCAGCCGAACAATACAAGGGAGGACAGGCCTGGAGGATATATACATGATCCTATTCATATTCCTGTGCAGGATCCTTTCCATGTTCCTGATCATCAACGCGTTCATGTAGATCCTGATGAGATCGCACATATATTAAGGGATCAGTTTGGGCTAACTCCTCAGATGGCTAACCGCCCTGCATATCAGAGACCTTTCCCAGAAAGGATCATTAATGAACACCCCCTCCCAAGGAATTATCGACCGCCCGATTTTCATGCATTCTCAGGGGAGGACGGATCTTCCACCATAGAACATGTTGGTCGGTTCACAGCACAATTAGGAGAAGTTGGCAATAACCCTTTTTATAAGTTGCAGCTGTTTGGTTTATCTCTTACTAGAACAGCGTTTTCGTGGTTCGCAAGTCTGCCTCCTGGACAAATTCAGACGTGGGAAGGACTGGAGATGGCATTTCATGCCAGATTCTTCAATCCTTTACCAATTGTTTCTTTAACTGATTTACTAGAATTGAGACAGTATCCAGAAGAATCTGCTTCACAGTTTATAGAAAGGGTGCGACTGATAAAAGGGCGATGTCCTACGGTAATCAGTGAGAAAGAGATGACCAATTTAGTGGTCCGGAATATGCATACTCGCTTAAGAAAGGCACTCACTGCACTGGATGTTGAGGATTTGGCAAGTCTTGCATCTAAGGCTGGGCGTTTAGAGTCTTTGTTCAGAGAGGAAGATCAGAATAACAGGCGTAATAGAGGCCAACATATGGCGAGTATGGGAACAGAAACATGTGACTTTGATTTTAATCAGTCAGAAGAGATGGCAGCTGAAATCCTCTCTGGAAAACCTTATGTATGCCCCAAATTGAAGCCAGTACCAGGGTCTGAAGGAAAGGATCAACCGATGTTTGATAGTTCGAAAGCTGACGAAATCTTTGATATCCTGTTGACTGATGGCCAGATCCGTATTCCAAAGGGGCAAAGATTGGCCACTAAAGAAGAAATCAAAGGGAGACCATATTGTAAGTGGCATAATTCTTTCACACACAATACAAGTCAGTGTACTCATTTCAGGAAGGAAATTCAAAAGGCCATCAAGACAGGTCGGCTCAAATACATCACTCTAGGTGTAGACCAGCAACCGTTTCCGAAAGTAACAACGGCAATGGTTGACATCCAACCAAGTTCGGAAACAGGGAAAAGTTCGGCCAATAGTGGACAAACAGGGGAACGAACTCAGGCAAGCCCCGGAACAAAGAAAGGAAATCAGCCAAACAGTAGCCGACCGGAAGAACGACTCAAAGTTTGTGAAAAGCCAGTCGCTGAAAAATGGGACCATCCAGACGGTTCTTTTAATGTGGAGGTGAAAGAAAAGGTTTTAGTGCGTGACCACCCGACCAGAAAAACAGGGTCAGTCGGGAACAATTGGGCTCGAAATAAAAAGCCTTTACCAGTTGATATAGACCCTCGTTTCCCAGGTATGAATCGTACACAGATTCGCAATGCCAAACGCAGGTATGCTGCGAAGTATGGGAAACGAGTTCCTTCAGCAAAACAACTAACCGACGAGTAAAAAGCAGCCGACCACTTGGCAGGAGATCAGTCCATTAGAGTCTTTACAGAACAAACAACCAACGAGCAGGGAGCAGCCATGCAATCTCCAAAAAGTCGGTCCAGTCGGGTCTGTTCAAGAAAGCAACCGAACGACGGATTAGACGCTTCAGATTATACCAAAGGAAGTTCGTCGGGACAGGGGAAAGGTAAAGGAATATCAGATGAAATAATTAGAGGTTTTAGATGCCAACATTGTGAACGGATCAACATCAATCCATTTCCTGAAGAATTCCGTATAGAATCTTTGACGGTTCAATCTCGGAATAAGACAAAGGAAGAAGTTGTAACTACAGAGGAAAATTCGAGATCTGTTAAATCTCGTCTGGGGCCACGAATCCCTTGTCGAATGACAGAGATTAATCAGATAAGAGATGAACCGATGTGGGCGAGTCTGGTAGATGATCCTACGGACGAACCTTTATGGGCATTCTTGGCAGATGATGAATTAGAGGAAACAGAGTGGGCAAAGACTTCAGATTCCGAGTCTCAGTCGGAGACACCTTCGATAGTGTTTCCTCCTATTCCAGAGGGTGCGATCTCCCATTTGAAACCTTTGTATGTTAATGCTCACATTTGCGGGAAACCAATCACAAAGGTTTTTGTGGATAATGGAGCAGTCTTTAATGTTATGCCATTGAAGACTCTCAAGAAGCTAGGGAAAGGAATTCATGATCTGTCTCCTGTGGAATTCGAAATGACAAGTTTTACAGGGCAGCCGACCAAGCCTGAAGGCATGATGGTTGCCACAATTGAAGTCGGACCAAAAAAGATCTCCACTGTTTTCTTTATTGTGGACGCAGATACTACATACTCTCTCTTGCTGGGAAGAGACTGGATTCATGCTTCTCAATGTGTGCCATCAACACTGCACCAACAGTTAATGTTCTGAGAAGGAAATCAGGTCTTCAAAATGGAAGCAAATGACAACCCATTCGATGTATCAGAACAAGTTGAAGAGTCAGTGTTTTATTCCAGTCATTTGGCTCCGATGTCTCAGTTGTATATGGCCAGGGAATACCCAAACAAGGGTTATAAAGTCACTGGCCAGAACTCGATGTTCTATTAAAAGAACAACTTTATTGTATGGCTCATGATAAAGCCACACCTATTCTCGTATAATTTGTTTGTTATGGGTGATACAAGTTTAGAAGTATGTAGTTCTCTTATTAATAAGTTCTATTTAAAGCAGC